CACACACACACACACACACACACACACACACACACACACACACACACACACACACACACACACACACACACACACACACACACACACACACACACACACACACACACACACACACACACACACACACACACACACACACACACACACACACACACACACACACACACACACACACACACACACACACACACACACACACACACACACACACACACACACACACACACACACACACACACACACACACACACACACACACACACACACACACACACACACACACACACACACACACACACACACACACACACACACACACACACACACACACACACACACACACCCAAGGAGAACGATGTCGAAAGAAGAAGAATGAAGGTTGCTGCTACTCAAACATCCCGATGAGCAGTATGCTTGCTATACCTAAAGCTGCATGTGGCTGGGAAGACCTCAGTGACCAGCAGTACGCCACTGTTGCAAACCACTCAGTGGTTCTACCTAGTACAGTTGCTCTCGGTGAGACCCGGCCCAGCGTGCAGATTTAGTGCCTTCAACTTGCGCGGCCATTGACGCTGTGGAAGTGGGACAAATGCGGCCGCGTACGCATGTACAATACAATGATGTAATCGGAACTGGTCCAGGGCAGCCAGCTTTGCACCTTGGGTCTATTTTCACCGAGCGCAACTACACTTAAAGCAGTGCCGGAGAAAGAAGTTTTAACCAAGCTATGAATAAACCGTACGATGCCGACATAATAATGTGATGAACAAATTAACTTTGTATCTTTATAGTTGTAGTCTCTTGGGGCGCGTTTGATTGGTCGGATCCAGAACAGGGGCGTTTAGAACAGGGCCGTTTGATTGGTCTGCACTGGTCTGCTCTAGGTGTTGTGAACCCTCTGGTTCTCTAAAGTGTCAGGAACGAACGACCCCACACGGCACGAGGACAACTATTTATTCTCAACAATATCTTTCACTTCCATCGACTAATAACAATGAACAATGAATGGAACAACTGAATGAACTGAATAACTAACACTAAAACCACCAGGTAGTTATAGCGTGAAAATGACAGCGTATATGAGAAAAGCATACACATACAACATACAACTACAGCGCACTCAGCAAACCGCACATAGCGCATGTAGCGTATACTACGTCGTAAACATCAACGGTACGGCGGAGTCGGAATACAACTGCATTGGAACGAACACAATGTCACAAGCGAGAAGGCCTTTCACTCTCGAGAACTTGTGGTTTCACAACATTCTCCCCACCAAGGGGCTTCTCACCGCCGTACAACAACTCACAAGTCAAACGATTTGGGGCTTACAACGCGTCATCTTCTGCTGCGGTGGTGGCCATGGTAGAATATCACTAATGCCCACCAATTCAGAAAACTCGACATCGCGAAGCTTGCCGCTGGGGACTGTCGCACACGACACTGTCACCGATCCACTTCGACATGGGGTAGACGCTGGACCAGACAACACACAACCGATAATGTCATAAAGCTCGACGATGTGGGCTGTCACACACGACATGGTCACCGGTACACTGCTTCGACCCGGGGCGGGCGCGGAATCCGAGGACACACATCGGATCTCTGTGTTCCACACAGTCTCGCCGCTTACTTCTTCCGTGCTAACCAGTATCGCCCTTCTCATTTTCTCGGCTTCTACGCCTTGCGCTTCTAAGTCTTGCGCCTCTAAGTCTTGCGCCTCCAACTCTTGCGCCTCCAACTCTTGCGCCTCCAACTCTTGCGCCTTCAACTCTTGCGCCTCCAACTCTTGCGCCTCCAACTCTTGCGCCTCCAACTCGTTCGGCCGAGACTCCAGCTGCTTCTGAGCGTCTCCGACCGATGTCGCCATGCTCTGTACCGACGCAGTGGGCCTTGGATCTGATCCTCCCGCTGGCTTCAAGTACTCTTCTGACCGCTGCTTGTCTGTAAGCAAAGTCTTACACGCCTTGTTCGGCGTCCTTCCGGGCGAGGCAAGCAAATCTGGCTTTGCTTCCTCATAATATGTACTGACGGCGATGCGCTCGGCCATCTCCTTGAGTTTTTCGTTAAACTCTGGGCGGAGCGTACACTCTTGCCGTCTAGCACTGCGCTCTTCAAACTCCTCGCTCTGTCGGAGCCTCTTCTCCACGTATTCTCTCAACCTATCGACTTCAAATCCATACCGAATTCCGTTGGCGATAAAGCTGGCTTCAATGATCCATAGTTCGTGTGCCATGCTCGCTTCGTATCCTGGCGTGGTCGCCAAATGTTGTGAACCCTCTGGTTCTCTAAAGTGTCAGGAACGAACGACCCCACACAGCACGAGGACAACTATTTATTCTCAACAATATCTTTAACTTCCATCGACTAATAACAATGAACAATGAATGGAACAACTGAATGAACTGAATAACTAACACTAAAACCACCAGGTAGTTATAGCGTGAAAATGACAGCGTATATGAGAAAAGCATACACATACAACATACAACTACAGCGCACTCAGCAAACCGCACATAGCACATGTAGCGTATACTACGTCGTAAACATCAACGGTACGGCGGAGTCGGAATACAACTGCATTGGAACGAACACAATGTCACAAGCGAGAAGGCCTTTCACTCTCGAGAACTTGTGGTTTCACAACACTAGGTTTGGAGTGTTCAGAACATGTTCTGACCACTCCGACCCCAGAGGCTGGAGCAGCCAGAACTTGTTGCAAAGCCCAATGAGAACCTTACAGGACTACGCAATGAGTTTCGTTTTTTGTTTTGATTCGAATAGATTTTGGCATGTCAGTGATTACGAAAGGGCGTGGTGATGTACATGGAGGTCTAAGTATGATTTTGCACATTACACGGCGGTCCCCACGTCCATGATTGATTTTTTGGCTGTCTTCGAAGCTTCTTCTCCGGTTGTAGTTGCCTTTCAAGTTTGTTTTGCCTTCGCATGTTGAGCAATGTAAACATCTTTGAACTCTGTGGAAATTTTGAAGTTCGCGGCATGGTGAGCTATCATGAGTTCTACAATATTTCAGGAAAAATTTTCGCCGTTCTGTTTGATTGGTAACTGGTGGTCTGACTGCTCCAGTGACTCTAATCTGAATCCGGATTCACCAATCAAACATGCCCTTAGTTTATTTCCTTCTTATCCTGTAGTGTTTTGAGAAGAAGGGAACGAAACTGGCTGATGGTATGTTCCCGCGTAGATGCATACGACGACATGTTATTTTTCTAACGAACAAATGGAATAAAATATGCAAAGAATATTTCATGAACGTCCCAGTTGTCACCGTTATGCCGGGTTATGACACAAGCATAGACATGAACTGTTTCTTAGCAGATGGGGTGAATTGGTAACTCGCGTCTGGGTCCGACGCCGGCTAGATCGGTAGGTTTTCCCATTGGAGTGGGAAACCTAAATGTAGGTTGTAATCACTCTTGGCATCGCCTCTCTGTGTCAGTCCTCTAGCCCTGTCAATAGACATGTATAGCATTTTACCGTTCACGTTCACTTTGACCGTACGTCGGCCTGTACCATTTTGTGTGTGTTTTCAAGACACTGGTTAGCATTTCGGTTTCTGACACAACGATCGACTTGTGACATACCCTAGTTGGAATCTTACCGTTTCGCTCTTCCGCTAAACACAGCTTTCTATCGTCGAAACGGTACCAAACCAACGGTATTTTGGGTGTTGGGTACGAGTACGGTTGGATTTAGAGTGAACGGTTAAATGCTAACCATGTCTACACACACAACAAACCGGTACAGGCCGACCGTCGCAAATCGCGTGAATGGTAAAATGCTAACCATGCATAGTATTACTTTCTACCCTATGGTTGCTGGCTACTGAGCATCTCTCTCACGGGTTCATTTGATCACAATCCAACAGCCTACCTTCGCAGATGACATCATGATGGCTTGTTCCATCACTATCATACAATTCTTTAGTCAAACTGTTCTTGCCCTGCTGGTATATGAGATGTTGGTCATCCTTCTCGAAAGATGTCCATATTGAAGTAGGGTTGCTGTAACCGCTCGTCACCATCTCGTTGAGCAATGCTCCCATGCAGTCGCGCACGCCAAGCGTCTGATTGGTGAAGGAATCATGGTCTACCACGTTGTATCCTCTTCTTGTGCACATCTGGCGGGCATGCATCAAGTTCGTTTTCTTCTGGCAGCTGTCACCGTCGAGGTGTGAATGACACGGCAAGCTGGCGAGAGCCATCCAGGTGTACGTTGCGTTATCTGTTCCCAGGCACTTTGTCTTGAAAGCTGAACATAACACAGTACACATGCAAGGCACAGTCAGGTGAAGTAGAAAGCACACATAAACAAGATGTACACTTCCTAGGTAGCGGTACCATAGTTCAATTGAAAATTATATACCTATGCAAATACCACTCACCCATTTAGCTCCATTTCCTCCAGCAAACTGACTTTCCAGCGCACTTTCTCTCCGGGTATCGTTTGACCCACAGTTCAAGACGAAACATTTCATTTTGTCCTCTCATTTCACCTAGATAGACTTTCATCATCTTGACCTTGTTGGAAGGATCAGACCTTAGCATATCCATTCTAATAGCTCTCAGCTAAAAACTGCGTTCGATTTTAGCTACGTGGTAATGTAGAGTCACTCTACCGATAGAGGAAGAAGGTAGAGGTAAGTGGACGAACGCTATTCTACCGGATTTATTAGTTTACACGATATGTACGTGAAATGTTTCTATTTTGTATGGAGGTGTACAAATCCTTGATCTTGCCGGAAATCCCGTAGCTCTACCAATTTCTACCGGTTTCCACCAACTTTTTCCTGGTAGAGCCGGTAGAGGAAAGTAGAATCCACACTTTTGACTTGAAGTTTTGACTAGAAGAAACGAACGCCTCTACCGAAAGAAATAGTTTCTACCCAAACCTGTAGATAAAAAAACCAACGTCTCTTTAATGTGTACAGGTATTCCCACATTTCACAGAAATATGCCAGCAAACTGGAATTCACTTCATACAGCATAATACTCACTATGCTGACACTTGTCTCCATGGAAACCGTTCCGGCAGTTGCAACTGCCATCGTCAGTGCACTGACCCTCATTCAAGCAATTACATGCTGCAGCAGTGATTGGGAATATTCACGCATTTTCCAAAAAAGCACAAAGAGAGGAACAGAAAAGCGGGTTCTTGACATGTCCTTGAACATGATAACATGGAGACGTTAAATTAACTCTTGACAACAAAATAGCTCAACTCATGAGAGTGACCAACTCCCCATAAATATGCATTATTTATTCCACATGAATAGAATAAAGAGGTAGAATTGGTTGGAGGAACTGGCATGAGGACACGGAAGTTATTTTCTTCTTCTCGACTCCGAATACAACATTCCAGCATGCATGAACCCATGGATCATACATTATTTGACACGCAGGCATATTACAGTAGCTTTCTTTAGCCCTTACCTTCTGTGCAGTTGGGTCCATCTAGTCCCGGTTGACATTCACACACTTTGCTCTTTTTCACCCAGGGTTCCTCGCACACAACTGCATCCATCACATAGCACACACCGAAGAGGAAGAACACGAGAGAGTGAATCAGCCGGAAACGGAGTCAGGCAGACTAAAGACAATTATAAAGTAAAAGAGGCTGGACCAGGGAAACTTGGATAAATCTGGGTTTCCATCATAATGGCCTTCTTCCAAAAGATAGAATTGCTGCTGGAAGGTAAGCACTCTTAAAGCAGGAATGACAAGCAGCAGTTTACAAATCAATGCTATCAGTAGATAGCGTCAATTATCATCACTGCTCTGCGGCACACTCAGACAATTGAAACTTAGCTAACAAACAAAATGACGACAGAAGCACAACGTGACATGACCAACTTAAGACAGAGGGTGGTAATAGGTTTTTCATTTGACAAGACCAGACCAAACCAGAGCACTTGCAGACGACAGCACGAACAGTTCACAGTTCAGGAGTAGCACAAATTGCTATTTTGGAGTGTGGCCGGAGAACTGTTCGTGCTTTTTTGTTGTGTCATTTAGGAGTGAAACGAATTCTGAATATTCTGGAATTGTTCCTTTGGATAACAATTCCAAGCATTCGGTTCAGATCTGAATACATAGTGTTTTGGTTTTGGACATTTTGCATGTGCAAGTAAGGCTGCATTTACACGACAAAGCTGGGGGTGAAAACGCAACAAAATCCTTTCGGATGCGTGGTTCATTTACACGGTTCGAAGAGCATAACGTAAAAGTTGTAGACCAAAATGGAAGAAAACCAAAACGCTGGCCAAGGTGGAAGAATTTGAAAACGGAAATGTTCTGAAGGATAAATTTGAGTGTGTAAACAGTCGAAACGGTATGCTGGCCTCGTTTTCCATCACGTTTTTTTCGTTTTCGGCCGTTTACACGGATCCGGCAATCCAAAATATTGTTTTTACAATTTTCGTCATGTGACGAGTGTTGTTTTGTGGCCTATTCCTGGAGTGTGATTGGTGCTTCCACGACAACACTTGGCACATGACGAACGTTTGCGGATCCTTTGCTCCCGTGTAGACGCGCGAAAACGATACAAACGGAGACCACCTCGGATCAGCTTTGATCATGTAAACGCACGAAAACGAAAGAAGAAATGCGGGACCGAAAATGGAAAACTGGCCGTGCATTTTCATGTAAACGCAGCCTAATATTGCAGTCATTGACTTGGTCCGTGTGAGGTTATAGCTTACAACATTAGAGAGGTTCCGCGCAACATAATTAGTCGATGAATGGAGAGTCCCACTGCATGCGGACCTGTGTTCCGCCTGATGGAGTTTTCGAATCACGTACCTGCCCTTGGCAGCTTGGAACGCGGCAGTTTTTGACCGGGTCGACCTGGCTAGAGAGTCCTAAATATGTACCACTAACGTAAAGTTGCTCAGCTTTACGTAGTGCCGAACTTCTCTATTAGGGTGCTGTAATTTCACAAATTTTCTGTGTACTTTTATTTTCGGAACTTTCGGTGCGTCTGTTTCATACATAAAATTTCAAGACACCAAACAAACACTAACACACATAATCCAATAGGGAACTGCTTCTCTGGACCGAAAATTTCTGTCCACCTAACCTAGCCTGTTGCCCTCATGCCGAAAATATTGAGAACCGAAAATTTCTGAAATTTTGAGTAACCTCGAGTACATGGCAGTAGAATGCGGTGGTTGGCATGCTGGGAAAGGGAACTATGGCTCACAAGGCTGAACCAGACAGAACTGTCTACATATTCTTCAGTGATGTGAGAACAAACAAACTATAGAATATCCGGTATCCAATTTGAAGAAAGGGTTGGTGCTACTTCGGCGATACTTATTCAATTCTTTTACAGAATATTCGGTACGCTTTAGAATATTCGTTTCACCCCAACACTCCTATTTCAAGCGAGCACTCAAAAAGACCAGTATACATGTCCTAGTTCTCTGTCACCCCTGTTAAAACTACCATGAAGCCTACTCGTACACGTAAGGTAAAGGGGAGCCCACTTTTACATGGATGTACGCTCTAAAAATCCCACGCCAGCCATATGAAATGAGTAAAACGAATTCACTTCTACTTACCGAGTTGGCAATGGTGGCCGGTGAATCCCCTAGGGCAGCTGCATTCACCTTTGTTATCACACTCACCTTGGTTCAAGCACTTGCATGCTGCGACAGGCAGGGAAAAAAGCACATGCATGGAGTGAGTGACGCAGAAATAATGCACGGGAGGTCACTGTGTAGTAAGTGGCCCCCGGAGGCAATCACGCACAAACTCAAGTCAAAGCACTCACTTTCTAGCTTTACAAGTAATCGTCACAGAAGAAATATTATATACACACTTGGAAAGCAAAGAGAGTAAAGAAGCAACAATAAAGAAGAAAGGAAGGGAACAAAAGTTCGACAACCTGCAACCATGTTCTAGGTCCTTAACCAATAAGCAATCTACGAAAACCGGTTGCCAACAAAATTCTAGAACCTTCTGGAACATTAGTATAAGTAGCCAATCACATTTCACAGCTCAAGAACACAAACAAGACACAGGGGATGTAGGGATGGCTTCTTGTTAGTGTTCATCCCTTTCTCTGGAAGGTGTGTGTTCTGATAAAAACAACAAAAACCTAATGCAGGGCGGTAGCGACCACTTTTGGACTGGTCTCAGTTGGACATTTTACCTTTTAAAACTTGCAGTTAAGATGATATGACCTAAACTTGGAGAAAGTACTTTTTTCTCGTCCGTCTTGATGATACTGCAAAACCATTAGATGATGGAGACGGCCTTGTGACGTCTTCAGGTGGCGAAATGCACGGAAAAACCTCTCTAATGTGGAGTTTGTGGCCGGAAGAATAGACAGTCGTGTGGCAAAGCACTGAACCTGCACCCTTATCATAATCCAGGAAAGCCAAGATTGTGAACCGTTAGAGCTTAGAAGCGCACATTTCAGGCTTCGTTTCCTCGCACAATTGTTTTGGAAACTAAAAACATTGCTGGCTATGGGAATATAAGAAATCTCAGGAACAGATGCCTTCAGGGTTTTCGCAGCCATCTCCGACTCTCGATCAACATGAAGCAAAAAAAAACCCTGTGCCGCCAGTCTGTCCCTGAGAGCCCTACATATAAGGCACAGTACATGCAGGTCTCCCTAGACGGTGCTGTGTACATAATGCACATGGCACTGCGCCCAATCGATCGCTGAACTCCCATCAGCTCTCTAGAAAGAGAAAAGGAAACATCGGCCCGAAAAGTGGTCCGGTGAAAGCAGGACCAACCGGACAGGTGGCTTTGCCCCCTGTAATCGCTTACACACACATACACGCACCTACACACACATACACACACAAGCACGCACATACACGCACATTCAGATATGCATATGCGCACATACAGACACATACACACATATACACACACATGCACACAAACCTAATGGCTTGCTGTCTTACCCTTTTCACATTCTTCACCGTAGGACATAGTGCGGTTACATGCACAACTCATGTTCGGTGCAAGAACACCGCTCCCACAGGACTCTGTGCAGAAAAAGACAATAAAAGTCAATATTGGATTACTCTTATGCAGTCTATAACAGAGCTGCCACACTTGGAGGGAGAAAAATCTGACGGGGGTCTGGGGGTCCCCCGGGTGAAAATATTTAGGAAAATGGCTTGCTGTTGGGGTCCCAGAACACATTGTTAACGGTCAACACATTTGCATTTTACAGCTACATGTACATGTACATGTACAATGACTGGACAAACGCGACCTGGAAGCGCCGAATGGCCAACTGGACTAAAAAGTGCTCAAAATAAAATGGGTCGGTTTGTCCAACAGGGGATCAAAAATCGGACGATTTCCAAAAAATCGGAGCAAGTGGCAGCCCTGCTATAACACTAGAATGGGGATAATAGCTTATCTAAAAAAAAACTGTCACGCAGTATTGAAGGAACAAGACGAGTTGTTCTTGGGCTTTTACACCCACGGTACCATAGACCGGGATGCATGACAGCAAGGCACGGTACTATAGAACGGGGTGCATGACAGCAAGGTACGGTACCATAGAACGGGATGCATGGCAGCAAGGCACAGTACCATAGACCGGGATGCATGACAGCAAGGCTCAGTACCATAGAACGGAAGCATGACAGCAAGGCACAGCACCATAGACCGGGATGCATGACAGCAAGGCACGGTACCATAGACCGGGATGCATGACAGCAAGGCACGGTACCATAGACCGGGATGCATGACAGCAAGGCACAGTACCATAGAACGGAAGCATGACAGCAAGGCACAGTACCATAGAACGGAAGCATGACAGGCACGGTACCATAGACCGGGATGCATGACACCATAACACTTCCAACACGGTTTCTGAGCTCTTGCTGTACGATAGATACATCCGTATTACTGTGCAGTGCATACTGCAGATGCTCAAATGTTCGGAACTTGGCTTTCCCTGAATGGAATTGAGCAATCGAAAGGTCTATTTGCAAAGGAAAGTTCTCAGCTCCGTCGGCAAATAGTAGGGTTACAGCCCTCGCCGGGGATTTCACGTCAAGTAGTAAACTTTCACCTCCTCATGTGGTGACAGTCATGGGAATTCCCCCTGTTTCTTGACAACAAAAAAAGTTGTCTGTAAATTCTCTCAACCCTGGTGGCATGTCGAACTTCAGCTTGTCATGCTTTTTGATTCCTCGCAATTGGAATCCAGGGAGTAAATTCTCCCCCGTCTCTGCCACAAACTGATATTGCGCCAAACAAAACCTTAGAATCAAAACATGCTGTAATGACTTCGGAGTTACCCTGGGAAGACACCGAAGAAACACAGCCTGAATCTCAGTTCTGGGAGTGTTCTCAATGTTGTGATTCACCGTGGGTGCAAGAAAGGCTGGGAGACGACATGTTTGCACATTGCAAGTGGGCACATTGTTGGCATAAGCCCTGTTCATACAGTGCACGTAGCGACGGGACACATTTACACAAACGCACAACTATATTCATCACGTTAGCGGCACAAACAGGGACCAAACACAGCTTGTGCATGGACAGCCATTGCAGAAGACAGTCACTTATTATTCTCTCACTTACTGACACAGAGAATCTTTGCATCCTCATGGCTTGTTTCGTTCTTAAACGTCACATGTTGTCTGCTAAATTTTACTGTTCTGTAAAGGGACTGACCATTGACCAGGATTGGCGCGACGTGGTAACCTAATCCGTCGGACTTATCTAAAGCCAATCTCTCTAGCCAGCGTTCTCTTAACACATGGCCATGTTCTTGTAACCAGTCTTTGGTTATGAGGCGAAGTCCGTACTGCTGACATGCGTCCTCTGCGTACTGCTCAGTCACGCTGGGTCCGAGTGCTGGAGTTGCTGCGGCGTATACAGAATCGTTGGCATGGAGCCATTGAGCTGCAACACAAGGGCATATACAGTTGCGGGTAGAAACAAAAATAGGCGGAAGAGAACTAAGACAAGCGGCATCATTATTGCTTTAACGCTGCGTTTCGTGCAAATAGCAAGGCCAAAGCTGTGTTCGTTTTTAGCTACCTAGTAGAGTAGAGTCACTTTACCGATAGGCCACACGTTTTTATTTCTAGTTTTCTCGTCACCTGAAAATCTAAAAATGTTTGCGAGAGGTGGAAAAATAAAAAAAGTTTATTAGACCTTTGTTCACACTAAAATCCACCAATACACCATGCAAAATAGCATCCATAGTTAGCAACTAGTATGTGGTAGGCGCTTCTATCACAAGCTGTGCATGTGCAGCTAGATTGCGCACAACAAATGCCGACCTCGCATCATGTGTCGCGCAGGCCACGCCACATGATGTACATGTGCATGTGTGTGCTGGTCCCCACATGCACAGTCAGTGCAGCACAGTTTTTTTCTTTTTTTCTTCAAGACTCCTAAATCGTATGCGCGTGCGTGACGAGAAACATAGAAATAAAAATGTGTGGCCATAGAGGTAGATGGTAGAGGCAAGTGTACGAACGCTGTTCTACCAGATCTAGTAGTTTACACAATGTGTACGTGAAATGTTTCTTTTTTGTATGGAGTTTTGTACAAATCCTTGATCTTGCTGGAAATCCCGTGGCTCTACCAACTTCTACCGGATTCAACCAACTTCTTCCCGGTAGAGCCGGTAGAAGAAAGTAGAATTTACCCTTTTGAGTCGAATTTCTTTTCAAAAACGAAAAACTCTACCGAAAGAAGTAGTTTCTACCCAAACCTGTAGATCAAAAACGAACGCCCCCTAAAGCAATCCTCAGACAACTGAAATTCTCGCTATTGTGAATTTAATATCGTGCTTGATGACACCCGATCTCTTGGATACGGAAGTGCCCAGAGCTAGTGAGTAGTTCAATGTTCACAGGCCTGGGGCTCGCCAGACTTCATAGAGCAGTACCGTGTCACATTTGCAAACCATTCAGCGGTTCTACCAAGGGAGTAGTATAACACCGGGTTATGACACAAGCATACGCATGAAATGCTTCTTCGCAGGTGAAATCAATTGGTTACGCATGTGTGGGTCTGACTCTGGCTGTAACGGTAGGTGTGCCATTGATGTGAGAAACCCACGTGGCTGCACTCTTGTTGTCTCTTTGTTTCATACTTTCCTGTCCCGTCATTATCATTGGACATAATGCACTGTGTGCTACTCAGCATTCTCACCATTTGCCCGCCCAATGATATCGCTTTAAAACAAGCAATTGTTTACCTTCGCAGATGACATTGTGACGGCCGAACCCATGAACACTAAATATCGCACCACTCGATTTGTTCTTGTCCTGCTTGTAAATAATACGCCGACGATTGTACTCGGATGATGTCCATATCGTGATCGGGCTGCTGTTACTGTTCACCATCATCTCGTGCAGCAATGACTTTACGCAGCCACGCACACCAAGCTTTGAGCCGAGCAAGGTGAAGGTTTTAAAGTCGACCAGCTGATATCCCCTATCACTGCATGCGTCTCTGGCTTTCGTCCAACTGGTTATCTTCGGGCAGCTGCCTGAATAACACGGCAAGCCGGCGAGAGCCGTCCAGGTGTACATCACCTTGTCCGTACCCAGGCACTTTGTCCTGAAATCTGAACACAGCACAGCACACAGACATGTACAACATACTCAGGTACAGGAGAAAAATATTACGATGGCCAAAAAACCCTTTCTGTCCGACTTGTTTTCAAATTTTCAAGGTTGAAGCACTATAAGGACAAGCTGTTAATCCCATTATTTTGCTAGTGGGTAACGAATCCTAATCTATATTTGGGGCCTGTGAAAGTCACACACATTCTCATTTATGCGCTTTTACCAACAGGATGAAGGCTTGTACTAATTATGATATACCGTAGTGCCTTGTATTAAAGCCTATCTCATATAGAAGCAAACGGCGAGGAGACAATAATTTGATAACCGCAATCAAAAAAATTAGCTGAAACGACATTTGTGTATTATATTCACTGAAACTAGTTACAAGTGTTGGAAGCTATGTATCAGCGTCTGTATAAGCCAAATTTGTGTGTACAGAAAGATAGTATAATTGGGTTGAAATTGTTCAAGTAACGTGTCGTGTTTGGTTCAGCCAAGCTTGGACGTCAATGTTCTAAGTGAAATCAAGAGTACATGAAAACCAGAGTGTGCAGCTTGGGGCCTTTTCTGCTATGGATGTCTGTCACGGAGAAAATTCCGTGATTACATCATATTTAGCCCAGATCTGAGGCGGGAAGTGCGTACAGCTGAGCTGCAGTTGTGCAGAAAGAGACCTGCTTGAATCCTGCTACATCACTAAAATGATGTAATCACGGAATTCTGCAGTGACAGCCACCCATCCGAGCTGCACACTCTGGTTTTCATGAACTCTTGGTGAAATGTACCGCTGTTATGTGTTATCACTTTGTCCTTCCTTCTTTCTTTCTCTTGTTTGTTAATGTCTCGCTTTGATTGTTAAAATTCACACTTGTAAATTTAAGTAGAAAGGAAAAGGACATATGGAAACGAGTTAAGAGTAACTCTCCACCACTGTAACTAGATACTATATACAGTCAGAAAGTGCAACAACTAGGCACAAAACTGACAGAGTACTGAGACATTCGACGTCCTGACACAGTTGTTGCACTTTCTGACTGTATATAGTATCTAGTTCCAGTGGTGGAGAGTTACTCTTAACTCGTTTCCATATGTCCTTTTCCTTTCTACTTTTATTATTGGCTCAATACCCGAGTTTCAACTTGTAAATTTCATTGCTGTTGTTCTTAGTGTTATTTCTCTAACCTAAATTTTCTATAATAGTTCAATTTTGTTTCAGTGTCCTTTAGTACAACGACGAATCCTGATGAGTGTTGTACGAAAACTTGTTTGAATCCATTTTTTCTCCACACCATTTCTTCATATTTTCATCGTTTTATTGCACATCGTCTCCACCGTATTTTTTACATTGCATGAATAAAATACACAAATGTCGGTTCAGCTAATTTTATTGATAGCGGTTATCATATAGAAGCCTGTTGTGAATAGAGGTCTGATTTTCAGAATACACTTTTGGCACACAAGCCTGGTGTTAGTGTTGACGCACATAGAAATACCTGGTTTGAATAGAAGTCTGATGTGAATAGAAGCCTAGCCCTGAAATCGGCTTCCACAGGAATACGCTCGGCGGTAATACACGACACTACGGTGAGTACATTTCAATTCTCTTTCTGGAATTCCGGACCACTATGATCAAATGCTGTGGAGACAAATGCACTGGAATCAGTTAATCCCATTTTTCTGTAAACAGTAGGTAAGTGGGTAAATGAGTCCAATAACGTCACATCATTTTAGCATAACTCTATGATACTAACTGTGTGGAATATGAAGTGCCTACAATGGAGTCTGCATGCCCTTAGGAAGGAACCTTTTGCTCCAAGCATCTACAGAGAGGTGCCAAAGCCATTGTTCTTAAAAAAAAGTAGAAACCGGCTTTGACTGTGAGTTTGCTGAAAAGCATTACTTGTAGTCCAGCACTACTGCTCTGCTCGGGTAGAGTAATTGTGCATGTGCATGTGCCGGTGTGTATTTGTGTGTGTGTGTGTGTGTGTGTGTGTGTGTGTGTGTGCGTGTGTGTGTGTGTGTGTGTATGTGTGTGTGTGTGTGTTTTTTTTTTAGTGAATGTGTGCAGGTGTGGTGTTACATACTCACTTCACATTGCAGATACCCTCATTGATTTGTTTCCGTCTTCTCTTTGGGCTTTGTTCATGATGGCATTTTCCTCTTTCTCTTTTTCTTATCATTATCACTATCTTCATCATTTTGCGAGAACTGTGGCAACACGCCCAGTGAGAAGGCAGATTTTGCCTGTACTTCTGGTGAAGAAAAATATAGCTAAACAAAACCAAACAGAGACACTTACTGTCCTGACATTGGTCTCCCCGGAATCCAGTCGGACAGACGCAGGTGCCGTCTTCAGTACACTGACCATTATTCAGGCAATTGCATGCTGCAGCAGTGATTGGATGCACGTATTTTCCAAAAACAAACGAATAGTGGCAGAACAACATAGCATATGGGATTCTCGAGACATTGTTACATGTATCTTGATCATCATGACACTGTACCCACCAGTACATAGCTACATGAACAGCCAGATTACAACACTCCCACGTATATCCAACTGATGCCCATATGACTGTATCATTTATTGCACGTGGATAGGACAAGATTCCACCCACTTTTAAGGTCACAGTACGTTGGGCAATCCGGCATACAAACTCGGAAGTGTATCTTTGGCTTCAAATACAATATAACGGCATGTATGTTCCCATGGGTCATACATTCTTTGACACGCTGGCACATACTATAATTATTACAGCAGCTTTCTTCAGCCCTTACCTTCTGTGCAGTTAGGTCCATTTAGTCTGGGTTTACATTCGCATACTTTGTTCTTTTTCACCCAGGGATGTGTGCACATAACTGCATCGCATATCACAAGAAAGAGGGAGAACAGCCAGAGATTAGCCAGACACAAGAAGGACAGACAAGTGGACAGAGGGAAATACAATCTATTATTATTTATTTTGAACAAACGACGAGGAGACAACAATTTGATAACCGCAATCAGCAATAAAAGCCTGGATCGACATTTGTGTACACTTTATTCATGTAATGTAAAACTGCGGAGACAATGTGCAATAAAACGATGAAAATGTGAAGAAATTGTGGAGAGAAAAAAAAGGAAAGGGATTCAAACAAGTTTTCGTACAACACTCATCAGGAATCTTCGTTGTACTAAAGGATACTGAAAACAAAATTGAATTTTTATAGAAAATCTAAGTTAGAGAAATAACACTAAGAAGAACAGCAGTGAAATTTACAAAAGTGAATTTTAACAATGGAAGCGAGAGCAATAACGAATGTGTGTACCAACACTAAACTTGCAGCTGAAATATGAACAAAGAAGAGAAAGAAAGAAGGAAGGACAAAATGATAACAAATAACAGCAGTACATTACACCTAGAACATTAACGGCCAAGCTTGACTGCACCAAACATGACACATTACTTGAACAATTTCTACCCAATTATACTATCTTTCTGTACACACAAATAAGGCTTATACAGACGCTGACAGATGGCTTCCAAAACTTTTAACTGTAGTCCATAACCATGACGACCACGGCACAATACAGTGAAAGAAGAGTCGGAATACGAATTGTAACAATCAGGACTAGCCAACAGATGATTGTACACTGAAGACTTGCTACCACGAAACCTACGCACAACACTAACATTCTCACCGGCACTCTCACGATCACTACAATAGTTGCTCTCCGACTCTCTGCTCCCTTCACCGTCCGTCCCATCATCCGCTTCCTCTGCGCTCTCTCTGTTATCCCGCCTGACTTGGTCCATTGAACGGGACTCGGCCGTCACCCTGCTGTCACGTCCCTCCTTACGCCCTTGTCCGTTGAGTGCGTAGCTTTTGTTGTAGTTGGCTGTTGATCGTCTTGGTCTTTCAATAGTGGGCTTGGATGGTGGATTAGTTGTGGTTGCTATAGATTGCAATGTTGGTGATGGTGTGGGAGCTGCTGATACGCAAGGTGGGATTTTTGGGGTTGGCAATTGTAGTGGTAACGCCACTGCCGGTGTTGCTCGCGGTCTGTCACTGGCAAGCTCCACCGCAGCAAGAGCCGACGGCGGAGCATCAGGAGGAGGCAGTGGGACCGGGACCGCAAGCGGCACCTCCCCAGCCAAAGCCGCCGGGTGCACCGACGAAGGAACCACCGACGGCAGTAGCAAAGGCGGCGACACAAGCCGGCCCGATGAGCCACCACGACCACCCTCCTCCACCACAGCCACCAGCCACGGCGGAGCAAGCACAGTCTGTGAGCCAGGATCCGCAAGTTGTGTAGGTAACGGTTGTTTTCTAGGTCGCCCTCGCTTCGGTCTTTGTTGTTGTTGTAAATTTCACTGCTGTTGTTCTTAGTGTTATTTCTCTAACTTAGATTTTCTATTATAAGTTCAATTTAGTTTTCAGTGTCCTTTAGTACAACGAAGATTCCTGATGAGTGTTGTACGAAAACTTGTTTGAATCCCTTTCCATTTTTTTCTCTGCACAATTTCTTCACATGTTCATCGTTTTATTGCACATTGTCTCCACAGTTTTACATTGCATGAATAAAGTGTACACAAATGTCGATCCAGCTTGTATTGCTGATTGCGGTTATCAAATTATTTATTTTACTAGTATAAGAGGAAAACATGTACAGTTTGCGTGCGACTCGGCTGGAGGCCGAGTTTTCCACATCTATTGGAATACCCCACCCCTCAAGGGTCAAGGCTCCTATTCAGCTCCAAGAGGCAAGAGACTGGACAATTGACCAGGAAATTGTAACTCATTGCGGACGAATGAGCGTTTCGACCGCACAAAAATAGCAGGTTTGGTGATGCACATGTTCTTATTCCTAGCAAGAGCTTGATGAAACGGAATACTTGTTCTGTCGACTTTCACTCAAAATAGAAACTAGAACAAGGCCTGCATAATCAGGGCCAACCGGAACCACTCCAAAGCCTACACACAGTCAGGGGAGGCCATGTTCACACGAAAGGTATACTTTGAGAATTGCATACAATGTAAAGGAAACACTTGAAGTAAACAAATTCAAAGCATTTCGGAGACAGCAACTTTAATATGCCAACCAAGAGTACTAACCATGCATTATTACAATAGTGACAAACATGCGAGAGAAATGTGAATGTGAATGTGCATGTAAAAAGAAGCAGAAGTGTTCAGATCGGTAAGGAAATTCACTTCTACCAAAAGTCCATAACCCCAAGGGTGTGCAACTGGTTGTCTGGCTGCTGTAGGCCCACTACGCGGCGAAATTCCAACATAACGTCATGACACTGAGGCACAGAGGACAAAAATCTGCATTCCGCGGTGCTTGGATTTTTTGTTTGGCACCAGGGAGTAGTACAAGCGCAACGAACGTGTACGTCATTTTAGACGTAATATTGGAATTCCGCCGCGCGGACCCCATGTACAGAGTTGCAAACTCTTGGGGGTATGGACGCCTGCTTCTACTTACCCTTCTGGCAATTGTCTCCGGTGAATCCCTTCGGGCAGATGCATTTGCCTTTGTCGTCACACTGACCCTGGTTCAAACACTTGCACACTGCAGCAGCCACCGCATACACGCAACATGGCGTGAAACAGAGAAAATACACGGTTTGGTTACGCAATGAGCAGTGGAGATAGAGAAAGTAGACTACACAAAGTTACCAAGCAACTTCCGCTTGCAAGCAAACTGGGGCGTGAACACTGTTGAAGCACTGAAGCCAGCACTCGAAAATAGTACTAGGACAAAAACACATGTAACCGTTAGTAGATCTACTCGTAACAGCCATTCATAAACAAATATGATACAATTCGCCTGTGGGGATTGCCCATTTAAAAATTTAAATAATAAGAATAATAATAATTAAAAAGCTTACGTGGAGATAAAAATGTAATCAACGCAATAAATAGAGTAAGCTGCGCACTCAGTACAAACACCATAAGCAAAACTTGTTTTCATGTAAATAAAGAAGCTTGTTCCTAAACGTTTTCGTCGCCATCTCATCAGAGGAATACTGGCAAATCAACAAAAGCTCTTAACTCAATATATATACGCACAATGCAAGTAATAATTTAGACCCTAACTAGCGCGATAAAATGAGAGCTGAAGAAACATTACACCATTCAACGATATCAGGTATATATATTGAGTTAAGAGCTTTTGTTGATTTGCCAGTAATCCTCTGATGAGATGGCGACGAAAACGTTTAGGAACAAGCTTCTTTATTTACATGAAAACAAGTTTTGCTTATGGTGTTTGTACTGAGTGCGCAGCTTACTCTATTTATTCCATTGAATAATAATAATAATAATAATAATAATAATAATGTAAATAGGCGTCGAGGCGACAATAGTTTTAGAATTGCGATCAACAGAACGAGCTGAACCGACATTTCACAAAGGCTTTTATTGTTTTCAAAAAACGAGTGGATACGAAGGCAGTGAAGAACGTGGAAGAAAGAAAAAATGTGATATGGAAAAAATGATGAACAAAAAATTTGTACTTCGAACTAGTTTTCGCACAACACTCCTCAGGAAGCTACGTTGTACTAATGAAAAACAATCCAGAAAGATACTAATAAAGAGAAATGGAGTGAGAAGAAACAACACCTATGAAAATGATAATCCTAGCACTAAGGTAATAACAGGAAAAACTGCGAAAGCAATTAACGAACTTGTAAGGACTACTAGTATACTGTGACACAAGATATGACACCATGGCCAACCAGAGCCAAACCGACAGAACAAGCTGCCACTAAAACAATTTCAAACGAATAATGCTGTCCTTCTGGACACACAGATCAGGCTTATGAATACGTTGACAAACAGCTTCTAACACACTCAACTGCAACTTATAACCATGACGAGCACGGCACAAAACAGAAAAAGAAGAATCAGAATACACCTTGCAACAATCAGGACGATATGCAAGATGCTTATACACTGATGACTTCCTACTAGAAAACACACGCTCGCACCCACTCTTACTCACACAATCATTCTCGCTCTCACACTCACCGGAATCACTGGACTCACTGGCCGAATCCTCCTCAACGACGTCCTGCCTCGGAGCAATCAGGTCCCGTCTCCTCCCATCCCTCGTCTCACGTTCCTGTTGTGTATTACGTTGGCTCGGTACTTCCGTACTGAAATAGGTCATGGTGTAATTAGCCGTTGTTCTTCTGGGTCTCGTTGATATTGAGGTAGGTATTTTTGTCGTCTCTGCCGGTGATGCAGCAAGCGATGCTGATGCAAACGTGTCTGCATGCAACACACGTGGCGTCGCCGAAGCCACATCCACCTCCGCTGGTGGAGGGAGTGACTTGGTCATGGCCACGGGAGCCAATGGTGGACTTGCCGAGTGGGACGCTAGGTCCTGTGTTGGCGGAGGTAGTGGTTGTTTACGGGGTCTTCCCCGCGTGGGACGCTCCAGTTGTGCGCTACGTGTTTTGTGCCGTGCTCGTCATGGTTATAAGTTGCAGTTGAGTGTGTTAGAAGCTGTTTGTCAACGTATTCATAAGCCTGATCTGTGTGTCCAGAAGGACAGCATTATTCGTTTGAAATTGTTTTAGTGGCAGCTTGTTCTGTCGGTTTGGCTCTGGTTGGCCATGGTGTCATATCTTGTGTCACAGTATACTAGTAGTCCTTACAAGTTCGTTAATTGCTTTCGCAGTTTTTCCTGTTATTACCTTAGTGCTAGGATTATCATTTTCATAGGTGTTGTTTCTTCTCACTCCATTTCTCTTTATTAGTATCTTTCTGGATTGTTTTTCATTAGTACAACGTAGCTTCCTGAGGAGTGTTGTGCGAAAACTAGTTCGAAGTACAAATTTTTTGTTCATCATTTTTTCCATATCACATTTTTTCTTTCTTCCACGTTCTTCACTGCCTTCGTATCCACTCGTTTTTTGAAAACAATAAAAGCCTTTGTGAAATGTCGGTTCAGCTCGTTCTGTTGATCGCAATTCTAAAATAATAATAATAATAATAATAATAATAATAGGTCAGACTCGGATGTAAAGGCAAGGATTAAAATAGAGAGGACACAAGGTTTACAAGTTATGCGTTTTGTGCCAAACACTAACGACAAGTTTACATAAACCAGAGTGTGCAACTCAGGGTGGTTCCTGTGGGAGCGTAATTCGTGCAGTACGTCATTTCTGACCTCATGGTAAGCCACAGGTACGGTGAAAAATTGCATAAACAGTCACAGTGGTGCAGGTTGCCGAGTTTGTTAGGCACATGCTATAATTTTATCGTATTGCTTTTAAAAGTTCAAGACATCTCACTTACTGACACAGAGGATTTGGGCTCGGTGATTGCTTGTGGTGTTCACAAACCTCTGTTTTCCCTCGCTAAACATTACGGTTCTGAAAAGGGAGTTGCCGTTCACCACGATTGGTTTGACGTGGTAAGGTGCTTGCCGAATAGCCAATCTCTCTAGGAAGCTCTCTCTTAATACATGGCCATGTGCTTGCAGCCAGGCCCCGGTTATGAGGTGAAGTCCGTACTGCTCACATGCCTCCTCTGCGAATTGCTCAGTGACGTTGGGCCTCAGCGCTGGCGTTGCTGTGGTGTATACTGAGGAGTTGGCGTGAAGCCACTTGGCTGAAAAACAAGGGCACATACAGTAGGCAATAGGGAATACAGTCGTCCCTCTCTAATCCGGCACTTGTTTATCCAGCACCCTTGCAAACCAGCACACTTTCTGGCAAAACGGATTTTTTCAGTTCTTTTTCTACCCTTTAATCCGGCACTTGAATTCCGCCTCCAGCAGCGATTTTCTGCAACAAATCACTCAAACTGAACATAATTTGATTTTCTAATTCAGCAGTTGTACATCGCATACTGTCAGGGACCATTGTAACATACACAACACATGTAACATACATTTGGGAATAAATATCCTATGCTAGTACATAAGATATTCCCAAGTGTATGTTATAGACATGCATTCCATGATTCCACAAAGTACTTGGTTTGACACAGAAGATCCCTATGTTTTGACATACGACACAAACATGTATGGTAACATGTGGGCCGGGTTGGAGGGCAGGATTTGATAATCCACTCGCGGCACCCTTGTTTATCCAGCAGAAAATTCCATTGCAAAAGGTGCCGGATTAGAGAGGAACGACTGTATGTATAACAAACGCAATGACAACAGTGAGCATTCCCAGATGGCTTAGAGTACTCAACACCACCAGGATGGAGCGATCCAACAAAGGACTGCCTTAGCTCCACTTTGTGCATGAAACGAAGCATTACAACAATTATTTAACCGATTCTCTCTGGTCTCTTCTGCCTTTTTGACAAAAGTCACGAAATAAATCTAAATAACGGGTGCCCACAATCTAGTCATGCTCAATAAAACCCGGTCTAACGGAAAGGTCAATGCTACCATTTCACCCCATTTCTGAGACAGGTTCAGGTGTCGGCCTATATTTGCAGGCATGGGGCTGGGTGGACTTCATTGAGCAGCACCGTGCCATAGTTGGGAATCACCCAGCGGTTATACCAAGAGTACATAACCCCCAGAGTGTGCAACTTCCACATACCCTGCTCTCCCGACAGACTTTCAAGTTGACGTCATTAATTATGGGGCTGGGGAGACTTCATTGAGCAGAACCATGCCATAGTTGCGGATTACTCGGTGGTCAAACGAAGGGAGTAGTATGATGCCGGGTTACATAAGCATATGACAGAAGTGTTTTGATTGCTTCCGTGTGTGTGGGTCTGAATCTGGCTATACCGATCAGTTTCCAATTGAACTCAGAAACCACGGTTGTAAAAATCTTGCCGTGCCTACCCTATCCATTCGTCCCTGGCTACTCAACATTTTTCTCTCACTCGTTCATATGATCACAATGCAACAGCCTACCTTCGCAGATGACATCATGATGGCTTGCTCCGTTACTATCAAGTAACTCTTCTCTTAACTGGTTCTTGCGCTGCTGGTACATGATATTTTGGTCATCCTCCTCGAGCGATGCCGATATTGAGATAGAGTTGCTGTCACCGCTCGCCATCATCTTGACATCAAGATGGCTTGCTCCACTACCATCATCATGTAACTCTTCTCTCAACTTGTTCTTAACTTGTCCTTGCCCTGACGATAGGGAGATAGGGTTGCTGTCACCGCTCGCCATCATCTTGACATCAAGATGGCTTGCTCCACTACCATCATCATGTAACTCTTCTCTCAACTTGTTCTTAACTTGTCCTTGCCCTGACGATAGGGAGATAGGGTTGCTGTCACCGCTCGCCATCATCTCAAAATCAAGATGGCTTGCTCCACTACTATCATGTAACTCTTCTCTTAAGTTGTTCTTGCCCTCCTTGTAAATTACATGCTTGCCATCCCTCAAGAAAGATGTCCATATTGTGATAGGGTTGTTGAAATTGCTTGCCATCATCTTGTTGAGCAATGCTTCCATGCAGTCCCGCACGCCCAGAGACAGGGTTGTGAAGGCATTATAGTCTACCACGTCGTATCCTCTTCTCTTGCACATCTGTCGGGCATGCGTCAAGTTCGTCTTCTTCTGGCAGCTGTCACCGTCGAGGTGTGGATGACACGGCAAGCCAGCAAGAGCCATCCAGGTGTACATTGCCTTATCTGTACCCAGGCACTTTGTCTTGAAACCTTAACATAACACAGTGCACATGCAAGACACGGTCAGGTGAACTAGAACACAACTGGACCACAGCCTAACAAGACGTACACTTGCTCAGTAGGGATACCGCAGTCCATTTCAGAATTTGTTTACTAAAATGATCCCAAATATCATCGGACCATCACAGCTATACAGTAAAACCTGGTGTAAGCGACCTCTGGGTTTAGCGACCACCTGCTCTTAACACGGACCATCTTTTCCATGGACTGACAGTTCTACACAGACACTGTGGGACCTGGTTCTAAAGACCACCTGGCTTTAACGACCGCTTTTGCTTGCACCTTGGAGTGGTCGCTGAAACCAAGTTTCACGGTAGTTCTGGTGATGGCAGTCAATTTTTTAATCAGACTTTTCCGCCCTCAACTTTCCTCAAACTTCCGAACAAAACACCTACGTCAGGCGCTATTTGCTTTGTTCCTTGCCCTAAACTGTTACAGTACATATCGGTTATAGTGCGGTCGTGTACAAGAATATGCTGCCTACAAGAATGAACTCTAATATCTTCATAATCGAACTTGCATTGGTTCGTAACGCTGCAAGTGCACCTGACGTGGCCAGGTATCTTGTTGCAGAGCCACATGGACAGACCTATGGGACTATGAACAGCCGCACGTACAAACGCACTACGAATGCATGTCCAATGATCTTCCCCGCCTGCAGGTCCATGAAGCTAGCTGTCCTGTTGTATGGTGCCCGTGGGCCTAGTAAACTCGGACACTGGCGTGTACATAGTGCGGACGGAGAATGCCACAAATGTAAAGACCCACCAAGCGCAGCTCACAGCCAACAGCAGCCGCGCTTTCGACTACAGTAAATCGCCCAATATCCGTGTCACTAAATTTTCGCGATTTCTTAGAACCAACAAGTTTGCGATGGCAAAAGGTCGCGAAGCACAGTGGACACCTACATACACCCACTGTTGAAGCTTGATTTCACGATGGTTAATATTTCCGTCATTTTACAGTATTCCAGAAACATGAACAAAACACGGGTTTACTTCATACGGCATATACTTACTGTGCTGACACTGATCTCCATGGAAACGTTTCCGGCAGATGCAGGTGCCATCTTCGGTGCACTGGCCGTCATTCAAGCATTTGCATGCTGCAGCAGTGATTGGGAATATTCACGCATTTCCAAAGCACACAAAAAGGAATAGAATACCGGACTGTCGAGAAATTGTTCACATGTCCTTGCCCATCATCATTGACGCCTCAAACCAGCTTTTTTAACCACTTACGAGGGTGTCCAACTCCCCATATCAATATTTTTGCCGAAGGGGTAGGGGCGCAGCATTGACTTCCGTGCACGCTGCTTTGCACACTTCACGCTTTACACTTCAAGTGCAGAGATGTATTAATTTGTAGCTTCTTCTTTTCTTATTTTTTAGATCAGTTTTTTTACAAGGCAACACAATATTTTAGCTTCTTCGCCCCTTTTGGTGTATTCTAGTTGCAGTGTTCAGATTAGCCAGAATTCTTGTAGCCGACATATGCTCTCCCAATCAGTTTAAAATAATTACATCCCGGCTACAAACTGAGCATATGTTGCAGAATAGGTCGGAGAAGCCCGCATGAGGACTCTGGAGTTGTTTTCTTGTCTTCAAAATACAACATTCAAGCATGTGTGAGAGCATAGGTCATACATTCTCTGACATGCCTACATACATTACAGCAGCTTTCTTCAGCCCTTACCTTCTGTGCAGTTAGGTCCATCTAGTCTGGTCGCACATTCGCATAATTTGTTCTTTTTCACCCAGGGATGTGTACACACAACTGCATCACACATGGCAAGGAAGGGGAAGAAGAGGAAGAGAGTAAATCAGCCAGACACGAAGTCAGACAGACTAAAGTTGCATTTAGTTGGGCAATTCCAGAATGATATTGACCACCCGTGATTCTGGATTGTTAATGATTGCTAGCATGCCGTCCTACCGGTAAGACCACGGGTCCTACCGGTAGAACCCAAGAAATTGCGCTGCAAAAGTGCTGTTGCTTGAGAATCTTGTTGAAACAATGGGTGAGATGAGGTTCTTGTAGTACAAAGTAATGACGCAAAAGGCAAGACTACATCCAGGGCATTGCATATGTGCAATTTTATCAATTTTCAAAATGGGCGCCCATGTTCCTGTCGAAGCGCTTGCAACTGCGTCCAAAGTGAATTTCGACCATGGCATATTGATTGCCATGGCAGTGGAATGCAAAATTCCACACTCTGTTTCCATGGCTACCATGGACTGTTGACATAGAATTTCTTATTATGCCTCGTACGATCATGTCCAATAAGCGTGGACTCCTTCATTAGCGAGTCAAAGTACTTGTCAGTGCATGATTAAAAAATCCCAAGGGAACTGAAAAAGAATACTTGAAGAAAACTAAATCTCTTCTACTTACCGAGTTGGCACTTGTCTCCGGTGAATCCTTTCGGGCAGCTGCATTCACCTTTGTTGTCACACTGACCCTGATTCAAGCACTTGCATGCTGCAACGCCCATCAATAAACGCATGCACGGAGTGGCATAGAAAAATGCACGGGGTGTTACTCTATGCTTAGTGGAAATCGAGACATTTATCATTTTAGTCTTGTCTCCGCTGACCTGGTGAGAAGGCAGAAATGCCTGTTCACTTGGTGAAGTAAAATAAAAATAAACAACAACAACAACAACGAATTCTTCATTTCACAGAGCAAGCTGTCCGTGGCCAATGCGGATGAGCAAACTTCAGCCATCAACACCACCCCTGACATCCTCAGTCCCCTTCAAGAAATCTCGACTTCCCAAGCTGAGGTCGAAAAACTCCTCCGCGGAGTTGATACCAACAAAAGCCCCGGGCTCGACTCTATTCCAAACCGCCTACTCAAAGAAGCGGCTAAGGAACTTGCACCGTCGTTATCGTACCTCTTTAATATATCGTTCCAAACCGGAGATATCCCACAGGAGTGGAAAGATGCCACCATTACTCCAGTACTCAAGCCTGGTGACCCAACCCAACCAACAAATTATAGACCCATCTCTCTCTTGAGCACTACATCAAAAATCCAAGAAAAAAATTGCACGTCAACTCCTCTACAAGCACATCACACCCCACCTGCCAAACCAGCAGTCCGGATTCCGCGAGAAAGACGGCACTGCGCAGCAGATCGCCCGTCTCGTCCATACCCTCTCCACTGCGAGAGACGACGGGAAACACGTCAATGCCTGCTTTTTTGATCTAAGCAAGGCCTTCGATCGTGTGTGGCATGCCGGCCTTCCAGCAAAACTCTCCCACTATGGTGTCCAGGGCAACGCCCTGAAGTGGTTCCGACGGTACCTGTTGGGGCGTCGGCAGAGGGTCCAGGTGGATGGCGACCTATCGCCTTTCCTCGAGATCCCTGTCGGCGTCCCTCAGGGATTTATTCTTGAGCCGCTTCTATTCCTTGTCTACAACATAGACCTTCCACACGCAAGTGAGAATCCCGGCACCACCTGTAGCCAATTTGCAGATGACACCGCTCTGATTTCCAAAGCGAGAAATCTTCAAGACTGCACCCGAAACTACAGAGTGTCACAGCAGCTGGAGACTGGCTTCAAAGATGGCACCTGCTGGTTAACACAAAGAAAACAGTCATCCTCCCGTTCTACCACAATAACCGCCCCCCTGAACAGCTACCCCAGATCACCCTCAGGAATATTCCGCTTACCGTAGCACAAAAACACAAACACCTCGGAATAATCTTTAAGCATGACCTCCGTTGGACGGAGCATGTTGAATACATAGTCAAAAAATCACTCAAGTCTTTCAATATTCTTTTTAGACTAAGGTCTACACTCACCAGTGATTCTTTATCTCACATCTATCAGACATACATACTACCTATATTCTCATATGCGAGCAATGCTCTCACACCGTTGTCACACACTTCCCTTGACAGGCTAGAACGACTCCAGCGGAAAGCCGCCAGAATATGTCTCCACCTTCCCCTTTACACACACTTAGAACACTCCCACCTTTTGCATCGCATCAAATGGCCAACATTATTTTCACACTTTTAAGTTAAACATACACTCTTCGCGCATTCTTTGCGCCACAATTATGCCCCACCACATATACTCTCGCCGCATACTGTTAGCAACGTGCAACCTTCGTATAATTTACGTCGCTCTCATACTTGGCATTGCCGACTCCGCGGACTGACCGCTGTCTCCATTCTCCCCTGTACAAAGCCCTTCATTACTTTAATTGCTTGCCCACCCAGCTTCGCGAAATCCCTTCTCGTTTTCCCTTCAAATCCGAGATATCCCTGCTGTTGCACAACTCTGTATGCTCGTGTGGCGACCACCCCTGCCCGTACACTTAAGTAGTCATTAACCCCTACGCCTTGCCCACCCAATTCTTCCTCACTCTTTCTCCTTTCTTACACTATTATCTCTTATTGGCCACTGGCTATCGTGAGAATAAAGATTTGAAACAACAACAACATTTGACTGGGATGGGCATGATCGATAGGGCGAATCCAGAGCAAGTGCGTTCCGAGCAAGTGCGTGATCAATTGGCCTAATCTGGCCGAATCCGGAGTAGGTGTACTTGGAGTGGAATCCGACCACACCGGCCCCCAACCCGGGAGTCGCTGGAGTGGAAATGGACGTTGACGTTTTTTGGAAGCCTTCACAGAATCTTTGTACGACATGCGTGCATTTTGCGTACTACACCCTTGCTTTGTTAGATTTGGCCAGCGTTGTTCGAATGTCACTGCCTGCTCGCACTCAATCCAGTTTCGCCAATCGATGAGACCCTTGAGCACGAGTTAATTAACCATTTAGCCGTGGCAATGTCAGCCATCTCCAGCAAATACTTCATCCGAGGTACAAGGCTCTCCATGACTTTCACATTAACTAAGTGGTCTAGGTAAATTGGGCCGGTCTCTCCGCTTGCATAGATCATGATACTGGATGATCTCCAGCAGTCTTGCTGCGTGTTCTTAGATAAACCAAAAAAAAAGAATGGCTCGGTGTCTTACCCTTTTCACAATATTGACCATAGGTTGAGGTGCGGTTACACACACAACTCAGGTTTGGTCCAAGAACACCGGTCTCACATGTCTCTGTGCAGAACAGGACAACAAAAAGTCAATTGCATTACACTCTAAAGGTCGATTCACAGTACAACTTTCTGCGACGTGACACACGATTTGCGACAGTTGCGACAAGAATCTGCCTGTCGCGAGCTGTCGCAAGCTGTTGCAAAGCACCTGTCGCAGAAGTTGAAGAATGTTGTACGACATACACAAAATGGAGTACTGTTTTGACCCTGGGTGCACATGCAGTGCACGTGCATAGTACTACTAGCGCATAAGGATGTCGCAAACATGAAAACGATAGATGATATGCCATATAACGTGCAACTAGACTTGGGAGGGCATTGCAGAGTAAGTAGTTGCATACAAAGTTCAAAGTTGTACAGTTACCTGTGACTTGTCCTCATGCAGAGCTCAGGGCCTACCGTGTACACATTGTAGTATAATTTGTATGCAACTTGTGTGCAATGCCCCCTCAAGTCTAGTAGCACGTTATTTGGGATATCATCTATTGTGAACTGTGTGTCGCTGTCGCAGCTCGTCGCAGGTGTTGTAAAGTTGGATGTCGCGTCGCAAGAATTTGTATTGTGAATCGGCCTTTACAGTCCCTAACACTTGACATTTTTGATAATCCAAAATGATGGTCCAAGAAACCTTATCATTCAGCAAAACATTATAGGAACTGATGCGTGAGAGCAGGGATTTTTTCAGTATTTACCCTCATAGGATCTGCCAAGGAGCTAAAGCATAGTGCATTTGACAGTTGCCGTTAAAATACAGCAGGGTGCCAATTGTCAGCCACCCTTCGGGGCACTGGCCATTTCCACGGTGATCAGAGGAGAAGAATGGTCGGTTATGGGACCACTCATACATCTATCACATGCATATTCCAGCAAATTTTCACCATTTTGAATTCTCTTCGGTAGTACAACAGGACCTAGGTGCACTCCAGCTTCTCATCGTTGTACATTTTGACTGAACAACCTGCTGTAAAACATCTTGGGCATCGCTTGAGTGGTGCTCCGAGTGGCAAAAATCAGCAAAACTTCAAAAAAAAAGCTACCAATTTTGTATGTTGTCCAGCCCGACCAGGAGATCCGGATAACCGATTGTCCGGATAGTTAACGTCCGCACAATCGGTGTTTGACTGTAAAATAATATCCCATCATACCCCTCATGCGAACACCTAGATAATATGGCCTGCGCTCCCAGGGTTGTGGACAATCGCCACGCTACACTGCATAGACTTTCTTCCAACAAATAAAGTTGCTTGCGCCAAACAAGCAAGTCGCAATCAAAACTTCGAAATTACAAAAAAAAACACAACCTGATCCTCAGTTCAGGAAGGGCTCTCTATATTGGGATCCATTGTGCGTGCAAGGAATGCTTGGATACGACATGTTTGCACGTTGCAAGGTCACATCGTACATAGTGGCACATTATTAGCACAAGCCCTGTTCACACAGTTAACGGTGGCACAGGACACATGTTACACAAATGCACAAATGCACAACAGTATACTCATCGTGCTGAGGTCACACACAAGGGCAGAGCACTACTTGTGCATGGTAAGAGCACTACTTGCGCATGGTCAGCCTTTTAAGTTAAGGAGCCTTGTCTCACTTACTGACACAGAGAATCTGGGCTTGAGTTTTGCTTGTGGCGTTCTGAAACGTCTGCTTTTGTGCGCTAAACATTACGGTTCTGTAAAGGGAACGGCCATTGACTCGGATTGACGCGACGTGGTAAGGTGCTTGCTGGTGCTTATGCAATAAGGCCAACTTCTCTAGCCAGCGCTCTGTTAACACATAGCCATGTTCTTCTAGCCACTCCTTGGTAATGAGATGATATCCGTACTCCTGGCATGCGTCCTCTGCGAACTGCTCAGTCACGCTGGGTCTGTGTGCTGGAGTTGCTGCGGCGTGTACAGAATCGTTGGCCTGGAGCCATTTGGCTGCAAATCAAGGGAAAATACAGTTGCGGGTAGAAACACATCATGAAACAAATCTACGAATAAGGGAGGCTTGAAATCAAATGCCCCGCTCCATGACACGTGATCTCATGGATACGGAAGTGCCCAGAGCTAGTGAGTAGTTCAATGTTCACAGGCCTGGGGCTCGGCAGACTTCATAGAGCAGCACCGTGTCACATTTGCAAATCATTCAGCGGTTCTACCAAAGGAGTAGTATAACACCGGGTTATGGCACAAGCATACACATGAAATGTTTCTTCGCAGATGAAACTAATTGGTTACTCATGTGTGGATATGACCCTGGCTAGAGCGGTAGGTTTCTCATTGAAGAGGGAAACCTCGGTAGCATTCACTACTCTCGCCGTCTCTGTTTCATTCCTCCTGTCCCACTACTATCACTGGACACACCCTTTAACCCACTAACCGCTATATATATATACATCATTGAAAATGATGCCCAGGGGCTGAGGACGTATATAATAGTGGTTGCTCCCAAGCTTCCTAACTATATATAGAGAATTAGAAAAGTTGCCTGACGATTGAAAAAAAACTCAAGAAACTCGGAGTACCAGATATGGATTGATCGAAGAAGGATAGATTGACCATCACTGTGGATAAGAGTCATACTGTAGCTCAGTTGGTTAGAGCATTGCTCGCGAATAGCAAGATCCCTAGTTCGAGTCTCGGTGGCGTGACTGATGATTTTCTTTCTTTCTTTCATATCTGGCTTGCAAGTGTTGAGAGAAAAGAGCAGTACGTGGCATGTGGCCTCTGGTTTCCCAATGCGCTTATAATGTGAACACTATTGGTGAAACACCCGGGAGCTGAATATACTGCTAAGCATTGTGATAACACCGTTGTTTAGAACACAGACAAACCTTTATTGCACATAATATAAGCGTATGGGCTTCTACCCGGACATGTTCACACAGCAAAAACTCTTTTTTTGCAGCAAATTTTCACATATATGCCCATGGGCGTATATGTGGGGAAGTATGGTATATACCGGTATAGATTATACATCTTTTTCATTGCCAAAAAAAGTGCAGAGCCTGGGTGCCATGGTCTATAGCCTTAAAGGGGTTAAAACGCAACAGCCTACCTTCACAGATGACATCATGATTGCCTCTTCCATCCCTGTCAAATAGTGCGTCGCTCGAGTTGTCCTTGCCTTGCTTGTAAATAACATGCTGACCAAAGTACATGTACGATGTCCATATCTTGAGAGGGGTGCTGTAGCTGCTGTTACTTCTAGCCATCATCTCGCTCAGCAATGATTTTATGCAGTCGCTAACACCCAGCTTCAAGCCAAGCTCAGTGAAGGAATTATAGTCTACGAAGTTGTATCCTCTTCTCACGCACATCTCGCGGGCGTGCACGAAGTTCGTTTTCTTCTGGCAGCTGCCATAGTCGAGATGTGGATAACACGGCAAGCTGGCAAGAGCCATCCAGGTGTATATTGCATTATTTGTGCCCAGGCACTTTGTCTTGAAAGCTGAACATAACACAGTACACATGCAAGACACAGTCAGGCGAAGTAGAACACAACTGCAGCACACTCTAACACGACATACACCGACTTTCTCAGATGGATACCGGAATCCAGTTCAAATAATAGATAGGTTAAGATGCATGTTATTTCCGATAAAATATTGGTTGGGGATTGTCTGAAGCATATTCAAGCAAGGTACAGTCGGGCTTGATGACTGATCAAAGCCCTCGGGCTGGTCCCTTGGGCTTCGATCAGCCATCAAGCCCTCCGTATCTCGCTTGCCGATTATCTACTTTAGTAACGTTACTCTGATTAGGCGTATATGCAAGCAGGCCATTGAATAATTTCGCGGTGACCGTCTTTGCACCGGGTTTGGAGAGCTGAGCCATGGTTAATTCATAGATAGTGAGGGAAGGAGGTGCGGGGGGGGGGGGGGGGGAGGGGAGCGGGGGGGGGGGGATACCAATAACGAGAGAGCTTGGAAGCTCAGGGCCCTACGCTATGCTTTTTTGCCTTGATGACCTAGACAAAAAAAAAGCGTAGGGATGTTATAAATTCTTTAAAAAATTCCTTTTTTTTAGACATAACCTGGGATTCGAACCCGCACTATCGCGCGCCCTGCATTCATCCCCCGATGCACTTCGCATACATACTAATTCTTCCAAGTTGTTTCACATTGTGATCTTGCATTTGAAAGCCCTATTTGAGTTATATGCATTGTGGCCAGCCGTCTTTGATGGCACGGTACGGTAGGGGATAGGGACGGGACAGGTACGATCGAGGGTAATACGACACCGTCTCCCGTACCGTACCATCAAACACAGCTGGCCACATACAGCTTCCCGCAATATTCAAATAGGGCTTTCAAACGCAAGATAATAACGTAACGCAACTTGGAAGAATGGGTATGAATGCGAAGTGTATGGGGGATTGCATGTAGGGCGATAGTGCGGGTTCGAATCCCAGGATATGCCTGAAAAAAAAGGAGAATTGAAAAATTTATAACATCCTATGCTTTTTTGCCGTAAGATACGGATAGCGCCAGGCGTGACACAAACAAACAAACACACAAACAAACACCAAATTAAAGCTGTGTGGACCCTGGCTAGCGCCAGACGTTACTGAAGTAACGTCTTCTGCATAGCTACGGGAATTAAACTTCCGAGGCACTTCTTTTGGCACTTGAGACAATTTCTGTAACAATCAAGTGCTTTAGAGGTGATTTACACGACGGCAGGACTCATCCCATGCCTGATGCTACCATGGAGATCTAGTCACATGTGCTCATATTTCGGCGCGAACGGATCCCGGTACGGTCCCGGTGCCATGAGGGGCTGGGGGAGGGGGAGGGGGGGGGGTGGTTGGAAATGCATATCGTGACATTCCGTGGTCTGTTTTGCAAGCTCTCGGGATCACGTGCTTCTCTTCCCGGCGGGATGCACTGCCGTCACGTAAATCGCCTCTTAGGAAGTCAGAGAGATCTCGAGCTGGTCTCCAGAAAAGCATGCTGTCTTCAAGCACTAGCTTCCTGTGTCCGAAAGAAGGGGGGGGGGGGTGGTAAAACACAGGTATGAATCGGTTCGGAACCCAAATTTGGTTCCGAACCGATTTATAACTTAAGAATAATTGTTGATGTATGCATGTACATGTATGGTCACAATTCCCAGGAGCATGTGAATCAAAGAAACACGAGTATTCACTTCATTTAGCAGTTACTTACCATGTTGACACTGGTCTCCATGGAAACCTTTCCGGCAGTTGCAGGTGCCGTCTTCAGTACACTGACCATCATTCAAGCAATTGCACACTGCAGTAGAGATTGGGTGCATTCACATATTTCCCAAAACACACAAATAGGGATAGAACTTGAATAACCTATTGGATTCTCAAGTCGTTGTCGCATGTATCTTGATCATCATGACATTGTATAGACCTCAACATCACCACAAACACTAACACTAACACCCATTCACCAATCCCAGGTATAACCAACTTATAATCATGCCTTGCACTTGAATAGAACACACTTTCAGCTAATAAAGCTGGAGAACCAGGCATAAACGCCGGGAAGTACTTTTTCTTGTCTTCAAAAACAACAGTCCAGCACGCGGGTATGCATGGGTCATATATTCTTTGACACGCGGGCTAAAATGGCAGCAGCCTTCTTTAGCCCTTACCTTCTGTGCAGATGGGTCCGTCTGGTCTCGGTTTACATTCACATGCTTTGTTCTTTTTCACCCAGGGATTTGTGCACACAGCTGCATTACATATCACACACAGAGAAGACAAAATGAGAGAGCGGATCAGCCATACACAAAATGGACAGACAAAACGAGAGTGTTGTGGAATTATCCACCACCAGACCAGCGCAAGGATATAAGTTGGACTATAATTATTAATTTCAATTCCAAAATGCACAAGAAGTGTACAGAAGAAAAAAGCACGAACTCGACCAGGCCAGAAGCAAGAAGAACTGAACACAAGATATTGAAAACCCTTCTCCTCAACAAGCTGCATCACGTACAACGCAAAACAACTGGCTGCACCAGTGTGTGCATCAGCGCGTGCACCAGCGCGTGCACCAGCGCTGCACCAACGTGTGCACCAGCGAAATCAATATCGAAAGTACGTATCAATCATTACATTACATACAACATGCGCAAGAGGGTTACTCTACTTCACGACGTAGAAGAACGGCATCACCAACGGCGAACAGACAGTTATCAGCTTCAGACTCAACAAAGTCCTTGGAGGACAGCTCAGCTTCCACAAAATCACGGATCCGAGCAGCCTGGCGTTCAAGATCAGATGGAGCCAGGAGTAGCCGACAAGAGAACACCGGAGGGCTCCCAGCCAAGCATCGCACACATAGGAGAAATCTTGAGGACAGAGTGCGGACGAATACGGTCGAAATACAGTAACACGTCCAGCTCAGATCGCCAATCATCAGCCTCATCCAACACCTTCCGAATTAAGGTGAGGAGAGTGCGGTTAAATCGCTCAACAGATCCCTGTAATAGGGGATGACTCACGGCACCGTTGAGCACTGTCACACCAAACGTGTCAAACAGCGATGACATCACGGCGTTGATGAATTCCGTGCCATTATCACAGCAGACCACTCGGGGCGGGCCCCACCGCGTACACAGGCCGACAAATGCCTCGGCCACTGATGCCGCGTCATGTTGACGGAGCAGAACCACTTCCACCCACATGGTGAAAGTATCCATGCAGACGAGAACACAATGGTACTCTCCACTCTGATCGCCGCCCAGTTCCAGAGTATCTATTACTACAACACTCCATTGGGCCATTAGCCACCACAGGGCGACTGGCATCCGCCGAAACGCCCTTGGTTGGGCTGGCAGCAGCACACGGCGAACAGTGGCGCACAAAAAAACTGCTGACATTGGGCAGCCATGTTCGGGAAATAGCACTTCGAGCGGAGGAAGCGCCATGTACCCTCCCAAGACGCATGACCACAGTTCACATGAGCAGCACGAACGACATCGGACTCGAGTGAACTAGGAATAACAGGAATGACGACGGCATCATTGGGCGGCAACTTCACACTTCGACACAGCATACCATCATGGACTACGAGCTGTGACTTGACCTTGACAAACGCAGGATCAGTAACTGGGTCACCATCGATGACTTGCTGGCGAGTCGCAACAATCCGAGGATCTGCATTCTGAGCAGCACATACTCTGTCCAATGAGAATGGACTAACGGTCACCACCGCAGCGGTGACGGACGGTGCAATCCGAGAAAGGAGCGTCTTGCCACATCGGATCCAGCTGCTGGGAACACGGGTCAATTGATCCGCCTTGTTCTGCTGACTGCTGATCCACTGGACCTTGACTGTCAAACCCGTGACAGCGACGAGATCAGTGATAATCTGGAGACGGCGCTGTACAAGTACCTGCTGCAGGCCGCTGACGCGAACACGAGACACCTTGCCAAGCACCGATTGCAACCTAGCAGCCACAGTCTTGGAATCGGTGAATAGCGTGAGCTCCTTCACTTGCCACTGCATGGCAAGGTGCAACCCCTTGATCACGGCGTCACGCTCAGCGATGTTAATGTGTCGCCGGTCGTCCTTCTGCCGCAGCCAGCAGCCATCCTCGACAATCATACTATCGGCCTGAATGACAGCACCATGTGCGATGTCCGAAGCATCACACCACAACGACCACTGTGCGTCTTCAGGAACTGACCACACACCTTGCGCAGGGTCATCGGTCTGCAGACGGTGAATGACTTCCGCACAACAAGCGACGACTTCATGAGACACTGGATCGTCCCATCCAGGCTGAAGGCTAGACCGACGCTTCAGATAACTGCACGCCAGGCGCAGCCAGGAGCCGACAGAATAGTGGCTGGTCAGCTTGCCACACCACTTGAAAATCTCGCGCCTTGTGACGGCATCGGGCTGACAGGTCGGCATGACGTCACCACGACACATCCACCTCACTTGGCCATCTGCAGACTCTGACAGCAGCAGGCCGAGTACCCTAGCAGAGACGACTGGCTCCGCTGGCTTGGTGGGCAACCCGTACTGCGACAACTGATCGGTGACAGCACGTAGACGAGGCTTCGGAGCATACAAATCGTCGACATAGTTATCCACATCAGCATACGCACGGAGGACCCACTTGACGATTATGTCCATGAATTTGGGCGCAATCGATAGACCGAAGCCCATCCTCTCCATTGCGAACAGCTGGCCCTTCCAGACGATCGTTTGGAACTTGGCGAGAGCTGGCGCGATGCGGATGTTGAGGTAAGTCTTGCTGATGTCCAGCAACACGTGGCTGTCGGCGTTGCCAATAGACCTCCACTGACGCAATTTCCCTAGCAAACAGGCACGTCCAAACCTCGATGCGACACAATCAAATTGTTGAGTTGCCGGTAGTCCAAACACGGGCGGACAGGGGTGGACTCCTTGTGCGTCTGGGCCACCGCCAACAAGGGAAACACAGCACCAGGCTCACCATGGACTGCTTGGTCATGGGGTACCAACCATCCATTGCGGATCAACATGTCCACTTCCTCGCAGAACTGTGACTCCTACCCTCTGTCCCCCTCTAAGTCTAACAAATGGTGACTGAGACCTGTACACCAGGGTTTTTACGCCTGAAAGCAGGTGCATGATTTAACAAGCAGGTTGTCAGTCTAGATTTTATGCGCAGATGGAGAAAAAATGCGCAATTTTTTTGTAATGTGATGAAAAGCAGAAATAATAAGAAAAGATGAAATGAAAGCCTGCTCCGCACAACCCCGTCCAGCCTTGCGAACTGGGTATGGTGGATTAAGAACCTGGGTCAACGCTCGAGCAAGCGCTCTCCACTCCAGGTGTTCACAGCAACTGTTAGGGAAATTATAGAAAAGAAATAATAAGATGAAGTCAAGCTCATTTGAATTTTCGGTTTGTACGGTGTTTGCAGCAGCGCGGATTCGAATCTCCTCACGCATGTTCCTGTCGATGACCCCGAGTACGTTGTCGTGCCTCCAGGTGTATACGTGTAACGTCCTGGTCCAGCGCTACGCGACAAGCGCCAAACACGTGACGCGTAGTACAGGCCCAGCAGAAAGAGAGAGGGGGAGAGAGAGAGAGAGAGAGAGAGAGAGAGAGAGAGAGAGAGAGAGAGGAGAGAGAGCGAGATGGAGGGAGCACGAACGCACGTACCGGAATGCTAGCATAGCGCAGCTACCTTGGATCGTGATGGCGTACTTATCCAGGCGCTGTTGGGTTGGTTCCTCACCGAACGACTTCACCTGTACATTTACAACACCAACGTGTGTTGTTGACACCAACGCTGCAGTCACAAATGACGCCTCAGCACCGGAGTCCAGGAACACGCGAAACTTCGCCTTTCGAGTTCTTCCCTCAACTCGTGCAACTCCGCTCATCAGCCGCACACTTGCTGAGTGTAGACAGCACGATCCAACATTCTTCTCTTTTACTACCTAAGTCGGTTTCTCCCGGCTGTAACCTGCTCCATTCAACACATCATGTATTAGCAGATGGTGCTTCCCCTGGCATTTTGTGCACCTCAAGCCTGACCGATAGTCCCTTGCCACATGGCCATACTTGAGGCAGTTCCAGCAGAGTCTCCCTCGCTGCAGAAAAACTTTTCTCCCTTCCTGTGGCAGCGACTTTAGCTGCTTCTCTGCATGTGCGACTAGGTGAGAAAGTACTCATTAAGTACAGTAACATTGAGTGCCGAAGAACAGCTCTCCTTTGCCTAGCTTGAACTTTCACCTGACGACGGACAAAAGCGAAAAATAGCTTTCAATGTTTTGCCGAGAGTAGGTAACAAGCTCATCAGCTCAAACGCCTTACTCTTGAAGAACAAAAAGATTACAATTTTTGTGATGAAACAGGCCGAACACTAAACTCAGGAATAACGGAGTTTCATGTAAAGTTACTTTGTACAGTTCACATCTACTCTCGGACACTAGCGGAATACAATAAGAACAAGAAGCTGAAATCTGGAAAACAAGAACATTGCTGGTCTGAAGCCGAGACCCCATCCTAGGTACCTGTATGCTATTGCATGGTTTTAATTGGCATGAGTAGACTGTAAACAGACTCTAAACACACCCTGATAGATGCAGGACTAGATGAAAAAACACAAGCTAACAGCTGGATCTTGAGTACCTAGCCGGAAAATATAAAGACGCTCCGTAACGCATGACAATGGCAGGCCTCTATCAGCCACATGTAAAGTGCTGCCAACAAAATTGGTCTCTGGAAATTGGCGCAATGAGCATAAATTTTGAGTGTCCACATCACGAACAATTTGACTGTGCCGACACCTCTGTACTCATTACAAATTGCTGACTGACCTTGACATTGAGTTCCATTTCCGTGGTAACCTGACTTGCACAGACACATGTATCCGCCTTCATTATCAATGCAGATAGCATCCACATGGCATGGGCTAGCCGGCAAACATTCATCAATGTCTGAACAACAGTAGGTAAGCAGAATGCAAGGGGTTACTAACTGATTACATACTGCATTGTAACCATGGCCAGCGTCATAATAGGCACAACAAAAACAATTCAAATTCATCAGACAGCTCTAATAGCCTCAATCTCAATTGCTGTGAAAACAATTTGATCTGTTCTCGAGATTATAAACACTTGTGTCGCTGTCGATTGATTCTACAAACTCTGCTATAATCTATACTTGTCCAAATTCTGAAATCAGCAGAACATGTGCACAGATAAATCATGCTAACTGCTGCTGCACAGATCATTTCAGCGGACAGAGGGGTGTTATGGCAGAAGCAGCAGAGAATGCGGCAAAAAACGAACAAACACAAAAAGGCACTCTGACCAGCTTTCAATACCACACAAGAAAACAGGAAATGGTTTGGTTTGCAAACACTGCACACCATCATCAAGTAGAGCATGAGACTCTTAATCTCAGAGTTGTGGGTTCCAGCCCCACGTTGGGCGCCAATGTTGCGAAATTTCCCCCGCTCCCCGCCAAACAACGACTCTCTGACTCATTCACGTGGGCAAGAGGACGACACAGTTACTTGAACAATATCTCTTGGAATAAATAAATAACTGGTGGGCGGGATAACGGGGGAGAAAAGACAAAGAAATAATAAACAACCAACAGAGAAAAGGGCGAACACATCGAAACGACCAATCAGGGACTAATACGTACAGAACACATGACCCGACCAAGACAACCAGACCACGGACGAATCACACATGACTCTCATTCCCAGACCAAACTAGCACTGCGCATGTACAGCATTCATTTGACAGTCACTCTCACACAGACGGAAGTACATCCTCACTCTCTGACAACGCGTATTCTTGCATGCACCACATACCATAAACGTCACACATCACACCATATTCGCGCGTACACTTAGACCATATATGACATCAGACACTGGACTCCACCAGCCAAGAGCCAAATACAACAACATGCGTAAATCATAGTCGATCAGAAATCCGCAACAGTATGGTTGAACTGTGTGCCATAATCATCGACTCGAGTGGTATTTGAGAAAACTAGCGAGTATTCAAACGAATACGAGTATTCTATTGACCAGACATAAAACAATGCACGCCTACACACTTGCAAAACCAAACGCAGTACACCTGGTACGCATGATTGTAGTCTTGCTAGCAGCCTAGTTCTGGAAATACTCGCAACTACTGTGTTATGCTGCTAAGTAGGGACAAATAATATTACATGTTGGGGGTCATACTACTGACAGTAGTTTTTGCGAAACAACGACTCGCTCATTTCAAATTTTCAAGAGAGGGATTGAGTATTGGACATACTCATGTTACCCTAACAGTAAAGGGTGTGTTTGGTTTGTACAAACTAGAAAAGGATCGGACAGCTGGTGCACATGGAGCAGCCTCATGCCAACCAAACGGTACTCCAGAAACAGAGCACATTTTTTTGTGAAAAATGTGCCAAACTTTGTTCATTCTTCAAAATGTTTATGAGTCACCATGGTCATTTTGTACGGTACAACGAGTTCAACCCAAAAAAGCGTATGCACGTGATCATTTTGGGACCAAAATCGATGTATCTGCCAGGTTTTACTGTGAACAAGTGAAACTGCTCGGTCTTCTCCGGCCTCGAGGCCGGAGCTAGCAGAACATGTTCTGGTCGACCCAGAACAGGTGCAGTCCCAACCAAACACGCTGTTCTGGTGAATCCTGTTCTAGGTCATACCAACCAAACGCACCCTAAGAAGCATGCGTATTCACTTCACTTACTATGCTGACACTTGTCTCCGTGGAATCCTTTCTGGCAGTTGCAGGTGCCATCTTCAGTACACTGACCGTGATTCAAGCAATTGCATACTGCAGCAGTGATTGGGTGTATACACGTATTATCCAAAGCACACAAATGGAAATAGAACATAGTATATTGGATTCTCAAGAAGTTGCTGCATATATTTTGATCATCAGGAGATTGTCTAGACCTCAAAATACCTATTTAAAACACTCATTCACCAATCCCAGGTATATCCGAATCATACTCATTCGAATCTTTTCTTGTACAGTGCGGATCGGCTATAGGGTTATCGGCTATAGTAATATGCCTCTTATAGTGATCGTATTCTCAAATTCATTTTCGTAAACCACCCCTTTCTATACATATCGGATCGGCTATAGTAATAATCGGCTATAGTAATAATCGGCTATAGTAATAATCGGCTATAGTAATATATCGGCTATAATGATACGATTTCTTTGTCAAAATGATCTTATTGCAAACATTTTTCATCGGCTATAGTGATGATCATAAACAATTATACATCGTACATGGCGAGATCTGATCGCGGCAGTCAGGAAGCGCTGGTACGACTATGATATCCCTCGGAGGAAATAATTCGAAATCTTTGGCGTGGGCTGTGCTTGTTGTTCCCGGGCATCCTCGAGCGAGATCGGAGGCAGTAATGAGTACCAGCGCTGAAGCGCTACCGTGGTCTCCGTCGAGATGTTGGAGAAGGCATTCAGGTAACAGCGAAGACAATCAAGGACGCCGAGAAGCTTCTCCGTGAAATACGATCGACCTGCTACTTGGAACGGTTTCAGCGGTGATGAGTCGAGCGATGGCGACCCAGACTGAGACTCTACTCCCACTAATCGATCCTGTAGATATTGTTATGTCGATTGAATGTGTTGAAGTGTTTCTCTTCCAAAAGAACACATTTGTTGAGCACAGCAACTCCATGAAAACTCATGTCAAAAAATCATGAAGTTTTTGTTTCCGCAGGAAGTAGCTCTGCACGTTGCACTGATTCGAATGACACCATACACGCATTTGTCAGGCATACCTAAGTATGCATATCGCCTATAGTAATATATCGCCTATAGTGATATTTTCACGAAAATCAAACACCAACGCTATAGCCGATCCGTACTGTACATAAATGGAACAAATTTTCACCCACTTGAAGTCGGATTATGCTGGAAACCCTGGCATGGAAACTGGGAAGTACTTGTCTTGTCTGGAATTATAACTTTCCATCGTCCATGTACCCATGAGTCTTAGTGTGTTGAACTGCTCTGGTGGTGGCACACACAAACAATGCTATCAATACCTTCGGAGATAACACACCACGTCAAACGTACAACGAACCAGCATAGTCGATGCCGGTAGTTGCGAACGGCCTCTCGTGAACAACTCGGTCTGTTGGCAGCGGCGGGCAGACTTCTGAGGCAGCCTTAGCCTTGTAGCGGCGGCATATAACACATCACTGAGTAATTTTGCGTAGCGCTCGTCGACCGCCGATAATCCAGAATTTCTGACGGATGTACAACAAGACCCCTTCTACACCTTGGTACATGCTTTCGACGTGCGTTTTCTCCAACAGCTACTCGGTCAGATGATGTTTACCTATTAGAACTGGGTGCTTGGCTCCATACGCCAACTCGCTGTAGTGGAGTCGTCCCCCGGCTCTGAGCTACCCATGCTCATCCAGAAACGGTGCAAGATGATACACCTTCGACCCAGCCTTCAATGGTTGACCTTGCTTCATCAGCTCAAGGTCCTCAGCGAAACATTTGGCTTGAACGATGCAGTACAATACGTTGTCAGCTGCAAAATAGTTTAGCAAGAGGCTCAGTGTGCTTCCACTGCAACATTCGAGTCGCCATGCCCTGTGCCCACGACCACTTACTGAATCGGAGCCACCATTCATTATCAGTGTCTCGACTACAGGTGGTGGGTGACACTCGCACTTCTACACTGGACTCATCAGTACCAGCGGTTGAGGATGTGGTGGGCCAGTCATTGGGCTCCGTGATCCAGGTTGGCCCGCCCAACAAGAACAGACTACGGATCTGCTGTGCATTACTCCCACGTGACGGAAAATCTGCCGGGTTGTGAAGGCCCGGGCAATGGTTCCACACAAAGCCGACCTTCTTCGATATCTCTTGGTCTTGACGGACGCGGTTCACCACAAATGTGTTCCATTTGTACGATGGATTACCGATCCAATAAACGGTAGTGAGACTGTCAGTCCAGCCATAGACTTGCGTGAACGTCACACGCAGGTGCTTCACCACAAACTCAGCATAGCAAGCCGCTAGACATACTGCATGTAACTCAAGGCGGGCTAACGTCGGCGGAGACACCCTTGCCACTTTGGCCTTGGCAAATACCAAGTGTGACTGTCCATTGATGACTGCATACAAAGAGCATCGAAACGCTTTCTCACTAGCGTCCGCGAAGGCATGAAGCGCAATAGGCATGTCAAGATTTCAGCAAAACCAACGTGGTATGTCAAAGCCTACCACTTCAGCCAAGTCTCCCCGCCATTGCGCACATGCGGCTGCGATGCCATCAGGCAACTTATTATCCCAGTCGCCACCGAATTTCCAGGCTTGCTGTAGCAGCATCTTTACCGGCACAACTGTAGGTGCTGCTGGACCTAGCGGATCAAACACTGACGCAACACACTTAGGAGGGATCGCCGTGTTCAAACAGGTGGTCTATCGGACTCATCACTGGATTTCCATTTCAGACTGAGGACTTTCTCTCCAGCCTCTGGATCGCATTGGTAATTCGTCGCCTCACCACTTGCGGAACTCCATGCCAGCATCTGTAAGCACACGCACGCTGAACTCTTGCATCTTCTTGGCTTCCGGGGCATTTGAGACACGAGAGACCAAATGGTCAACGTAGAAACTCGTGTCACTTCGACCGGTCCACAGGAAACGCAGGTACGGACGGTCTTCGGGATTAACCACGACCATGAAGAAAGCCTTGCGGATGTCCACTTGCAGCGCGCTCTTATATTCACGGAACCTTAATTGCATACCCGCGAGACTTGGCAATAAGGACGTTTAGCAAAGCAAAAGTTCGAAAGAAAATTCGAGTCTGGGAATGAGTACAGAAACAAACTTCGAAACTTCCAAAACTTGGACGCGAAGTTGCAGTGGTTTGCGAAAGTTACTTTCTACTTCCTCAGTACGTGATGCACTCTCATTTATGGTAGAACTCCCGTAGATCTACCCCGTATGCGCGCGCCAGAGCTCATGCTTCCTTTTGTGTTCGTACACACTTTCCTTTTGTGTTTAGAATGAAGCTTTCATCGTCTCCCTGCCCGATATGAAATAAATTCTGCCGGACACCACATGGCACAGCAGTACAGTGAACAGAAGTGATCGTGACTGGTTGACGTTCAGTTTCCTTTCCTTTTCATACGTGTTTCTTCTTCGCAATGGCTGGCCAGTGGACCCTTGCGTCTTCATCCACCGCAGCACCGGTGTCTGCTGAGCCTGCGATGACGACTACCCCACCAAGCCCCACATCGCCCTCAACACCGTCCCAAGTGAGGTTCGATCTCCAAATGGATTTGTGTATGCTACGCCAGCTCCGTGCACAGGACGCCCCAATCAAGTGTGGCTCCTCTGCGTTTGAGACTGTGGCGGCGGAGCTGCCAGCTCCCAGGAAATTTGGGTTGGTGTCGAAGAAAGCGGTTAGGGATCGCGTGCTGAAGTGCATGGAGCAGCACACGAAGAAGGAGAACTGGGCAAAACGGCTGTAAGTTTTCAGGTGCCCTCCGTACATGTACCAGTAATGTATCACTAGTGAGGAAAACATTCATTGCAAAATCAAAAAAACAGTGCTGTGGTTGATTTAAGTTTTGTACTTGTCTTTTACAAATTCCATTCTACTGACTTTTGACATGACTGCTGTCTGCAGATTCTGTATAACAGAATCCACGCAGCATCATAGTTCAGCATTAAACTGTGCATGTAAAACAAAATGTGTATGGCTACATCATGCTTATGCCCTGACCATATGTGTACAATGTGTTATTTTCCTTTCGTGCAGGTGTGGTTCAGCTGATGAGTTTGCAGAAAAGGAGACCCTCCTGAATGAACTGGTGGAGTTGCAGCGTGAAAAGGAGCAGGTCATGTACAAGGACAACCAAGCTGCGAAACAGCAACGAGAGCAAGCTGCTCAGCTACGTGAGGATGCCTGCGCCACACTTGGGGAAAAAGTGGAGAGAGGAGCAGAAGGACAGTCGGCGGAGCCACCAGCAAAACGGAGCAGGCTGAGCCAGCCAGACTCCGTGTTATCTTACCTCCAAACAAAGAACGATGCCTCAGTACTGCTGGAGAGGGCGCGGCTGGCACTGGAGAAGGAAAAGCTCGAAGTGCAGAGAGAGGAGCAGCGCCCAGCTTCGGAGAATTTGGATGTGGAGAAGGCAGAAAAGGAAGACAAGGCTCAGGATGACGGGCAGAAGAAGGAAGATGATAGAAAAGAACAACAGTTGTTTATGCAAATGATGGCTCGTGTTATTGAGAAAATGTAAATGAAATATGTCCAGTCCTTGTTTCTGTGTTGTATACGAGTGCCGCTGTGCCTATAAGTGAGCTTGTGTGTGTGTGCGCACGTGTGTGTGTGTGTGTGTGTGTGTGTGTGTGTGTGTGTGAGTGTGTGTGTGTGTGTGTGTGTGTGTGTGTGTGTCCGTCCTTTGGCAGTTTTTCGTCCAAAGTTCTTTCTCCGTGGGACGACTCTGGGCTTCCAGGGTCGTCCCAAGGGCGGTGGCCCTTGACTGCGCGCGTGGGAGCTCACGACGTCAAGACTGGGTGGTTTCCTGTTGCCACCACTTGTCGTCGTCCTGCGCGCGCCCGTTCGTGTAGATTGGCTCTCTACTCGGACGTCTATCTAGTAAGTCCTTAGTGCAATGGCGAGAAAGGAGACGAGGAGAAAGAGGAGACGGAGGTCGTGGATAAAATTTGGCTCGTGGAATGTCCGCAGTCTGGTGAATTGTGATGGCCCAGTTGAGACGGCGACAACTCGAAATTTGAATTTGAAAAATTCAAACCAAGTGAATTGC